ATCGACAATTATAAAAAATTTACTGAAAATTTTGGTGAAGGCGCAGGGACAATTTAAAATGAAGATCGTTATTGCACTAAAATTCACGTTTCATTGAAGTAGATTTATGATTTTTTATGCCAAAATTATGTTTTTTCCATGTTAGAGACGGTAATTTACATCGTTTTTTTGCAATTAAACTACAATTGGTTATATAATATATATATATACAGGATAACATAGAAAATATTGCAACTCTAATAATAACGCAACTACAATACAATCTATCCTTGAACAAACCACAAAATATTACGAAGAAATAATTGATTGATTAATTAATTAATTAATAATATTTCGAAAGCTTTACACATTTTTATAACGTTAAATTTCTAATGGTATTGTATCGTTATTGACAAAAGTTATGGTTTTCTATGAAATATTTATTTTGTATTTCCCACTATTTAATGTCTTTTTCGTGGATTACTGTCGGGAAATTAAGAAAATAATTAAGAGGTTGACATGGAATATCCAAGATTTCATTCTGATTTTTGAAGTTTATTAGTAAAATTAACGTGTGTAGGTATAAAAAATTGAAATACAAATCATCCAATTTTCAAATTTGAACTCAAATTTCATCAAGATTGGATCATTAATTTCTTTTTAATCTCCTCCCTTCAAAGCCGTTACCAATCGTTTTCATTTAAGTCATTGAATATATGTATGTTAGTACTTTTGTATATTACGTAAACACAGAGAAGCAAGAAGAAATTTTGTAAATGTCGAAAATGGTCATGATTACGTTATTCTTACAATAGATGCTAATGAATATTTCAAAAGCTTATATTACATGCTGATCCTAATTTTCTTGGTTAATTTTCTGTATAGAGCAAAACCCACGCGCCGATGTCCTACATATTTATTAAAATAATAGATGGTAATTTCTCTTGCTAGTGTCACCATTATTATTAGGTGGTAGTTAGAGATGTGCAAAATTGTTTTTTAAAAGTACTTAACATACAAAATGCAAATATTTTTCTGATTTGTTATTTCAAATGTAAAACACAAAATAGATTTCTCTTTTGTATTTTAAATGCTAAATGCAAAATACGTATTTTCAAAATGCTTTTTTNTGCAGAAGTGAATCTAGAAATAAATTGACAGCGCAGTGAATAGTGATTTAGTAACAGTACTGAAAATAAACAGAGTAATTTATCACCCAAGTTATACTTTATAGTGTTTTTAAGTTCAATTTAAATAAGTAAATAGTTTTTGTCGTTGTGAGTCTTAAAAGTTTAATTTGTTAAACCCATGAACATTACAGTATTAATGAGTTTTAAGCTTGTGAGATCTGATCGTAAATTTTTAAATACTTCTCCCGGCACCTCCACCACTTTGTTTGAAGAAAAAATAAACCACTTCTTCATTGTTTGTAAGAAGAATTCTTAAGCTATCAGCTTTAGACCCTTTTATAAATCAATATTCACGATATTTTCTTTTAAATGTAGTCAACTTCTGTTGGAAATATTTTTTTTAATTAAGGCTTTGAATATATATAGAGAGCTTACAAAGTATTGTAAGGTTTCATGTCTGAAATTAGTAACGCCTTTTGCGTTATGCCACGGTTAAAACATCAATTAGGGTCTACTACCAAAATGGTATTTAAATACAAAATGCAAATACTTTATTGATTTGTTATTTCAAATGTAAAATACAATATAGATTTCTCTTTTGTATTTTAAATGCTAAATGCAAAATACGTATTTTCAAAATAGTTTTTTGTAGTATCTATTTAATTCTTTACACATATTTGAGTATAAAATATTTTTTTAAGAAAACCTTACAGGAATTTGCCCATCTTTTAAATATTAGAGTTTTTCTAGACTATATTACCAGTTGGGAAGATTAAGTATGATTTATTTTTTTCTGTTTGAAGTGATTGAGACAGAGTTTTTATCTTATTTTAAAGTTCTTTCAGTTCAGCAACAAATAATTCTTTTATGTGCTTCTTTATCTGCCTTTGTCACCGTTTTAATTGGAAAAAAGGCACTAATGCCAAAGTAGTTTGCTTAGTATGAAAAATCAGAGCCATAATAGTGTTGCAAATAACTTTATTGATGTAAAATCGCCATCGATCATTTTATATCAAAATATTTACAACCCAATTTTGTTTCTGATCTTTACACATTGTAATAAGAGAATGAAATGGAATCCACAGTTTTTTTAGTTCATCAAATAAGTGAAGTTTTTGGAATCGTTTTCTAAGAATTTTGGAGCACACCACAATATCTTGTAGTTTTTAGTTTTACACACCTGGCGTATATCAATTCAATATTGTTTTGCGGGCTGTTTTGTCGTAATCATAGAATTTCGTAGTTCCGTACTAAAGGTACGATAAGTGATGATTTGACAGGTGCCGATGTCAATTTGAAACTTCAAAATTCCATGGACCATGAAATTGAACCCGGAAAACAATATCGATCCAGTATTTTAGATTATCTATTTCCAAAGAGTTTAGAATTTTTTGGGCTCTGTTTTGTTAAAGAATTAGAAGGCATTCATGGAATGTCTCTTTGTCCCCCTTTTAAGCTTCTAATATCTTCAATGGCCAATGTGAGCAACTTTCATTGATCATTTTCTATAGTTTGATCGATGATACCTAGCTAACCTTTTAATAGCAAAATTGCATTTTGTATTTTACATATAGAAAATACGTTCGGAAAAGTATTTTAAATAAAATACAAAATGCTTTTCTTAAATAAGTATTTAAATGCAAGGTAAAAATAGGTATTTGTTATTTTATATTTGCATTTTAAATGTAAGTATTTCAAATAAATCACATATTTGCTAGTTATTACCGAATTTATTATTCGGTTAAGACAACTTTTCGGAGAAGTAAACCAAAAAATATTAAACACAGAGTTGTAGTTTCTCTTAACGACAAAAATTATTTTGGGAATATATTTAATAGATTTTCTAGAAAAGGAATTTTATCCTTATGGTTACCAATTAGACAAATTTGAACTATACACAGATCGAAAACCAAAGTTACGAAAATATCGCCGAATCCTTGACTAAGTCTTAACTCGTATCGCATAGTAATAATCTTGGGTTTGACGTTGTCTTTTTTAAAAGTGAAGGATTATCTTGCCATTGTCTTTGGCAATATTTTTAATAATAATAATACAAAATTCTTTATAGTACCATAATGGCTACAATTTTAATAATATCTATTGTTAAAATAGTCAAATAGTCAACACGATTGAGTTTATGAATACCATTTCAAGATTCTCAACATCAAAACCAAGTTGTTCGGAGTTTTCGTAAAGTAGTTTTTCGAATTGTGTATAGTTAAAACTTCCAATATCTATAAGGTCTTCTTGGTAACCCCAAGGATGGATTTTTTTTTCTAGAAAAGCCGGGAATGTATGAAATTGACTTGTGACACATATGCAGTAACAAATATGTATATTGGATAAATTAAACAGTCTGGGCATGTTAGGTTTAAAGAACAGTGGCATGGGTCCAATCCACAGCCGGATCTATATATGGGCTTTTTGATAAATTAAATAAGCTCAAAATTAGTGTTAGGCAGGACCTCCCATAGGTATTCACTGTCCTATCCTGAACACGTCCCTATTTTTCCACTATTTAGTCTAATTTAAATGCTTAGGTCACTTCAATCCATGAAGAAGAAGGTAACTCAGTGTTTTTAGTGTTCTTTTCGAATATGTTGTCAAGCGTATAAAATAATTTTGTAATAATAATAACAACAGTTATTATTGTTATTTAAGGTTTTTTAACGACAAAGTCCCCGTTTCCGTTGACACTTCGTTTCAAGATTATGCTACAAAAGGACATAGAGCTTATGCATCTAGACCCATCTTGGATTTCGTCTGTTTCGTGGTACTTTTTAAACTTTTTTGGTTTGCGAAGCATTTACACTCTGGCCCTTGGTGAGAATTTCGACTCTGGTAGGCACGACAGAGCAAAGAACAGTACAGAAGATCAAGTTTCCAATATGGTATCGAATTTCCCAATGAATTACAAAGTTATTTTTAAAGCTGAATGGGAAGCTCTGGAGCTGATACATCATCAGTGGAAATTGGCAAAAGTGGAGTACAATTTTTTGAAAGCATAAAGCTATTAAAACGCGTATATATTGGATTTTCTAGTGTTATCTTTTTGTTGTTAATATATCTGATGAATTTAGCTCATAATCTTAATTAATTGTGTGTTTTAGAAAATACCACAAATGGCGTAGTAAACGCCATCTGTAGTATCTTCAAATTATTTTATTCAATTGTGTGTTTGTTCGTCGACTTTTCACGCCTTAGCTATTCAACCGATTGTCATGAAATTTTGTACTCATATTGTCAGGGTTATAAAAAAGTACATAGGGTACCTTTTCTCCAGAAAAAATATTGTTCTCGAGGGATAGAAAAAAATTAATTTAATGTGGTCGATTTCACGCCTTATTATACTTGGTTTAGTTTCTGTAGCGATGTGACCTTTTGTTTGACCGGCGCAAAGTAGAAAAGAACAGCACTAGGCCAGAAAAGGAAGGAGACAACTCTCGGCCAAACTCTTAACCGGTGAGGATCGTATAATTCATACAGTACTGCACGGAAAAATTGACTATTTTATCCACTACAATTGCATTGCTCAAATGTGCTGTTATTGGTACCATTTACTACTGAAAATATCAACGAGATGTTTATTTATATTTGAAGACATATTAAAGGCTTTAACGCTTGTTTTCGCCTCGCACTATTATTCACGATTGAACAAATCTTTTGGCAGGTACTGTATGAAAAAGTATGTTTAATGAATAAGAATCGAGAGTAGAATGAGCTTTTTTTTTCCCTACCTACGATTTTGCCAGCGCGCGTCTAAGACATTGGAAGGGGCACATCGCTAGAGAAAGTAAATGATGTATAACTACTCAATCGATCATCATGAAATTTGGACACATTGTCAGGGGTACAGAAAAGGACATAGGGTACCCTTTATTCAGACAAATAATACTGTTCCCTAGGGATAGAAAAATTAGTTCAATGTAGTCGATTTCATACCTTAACTACTCAATCGACCATCATGAAATTTTGTACACATTGTCAGGGGTATATAGAAGGACATAGAGTACCTTCTATTCAGAAAAAAAAATACTGTACAGAAAATGGCATAGGGAACCTTTTTTCAGAAAACAAATACTCGAGGAATAGAAAAACTAGTTGAATGTGGTCGATTCCACGTTTTAACTACTCGATTAATTATGAAATTTTGTACACTGTCAAGGGTACAGGAAAGGACATAGGTTACCTTTCATCCAGAAAAAAAAAATTATTTGATAATTTTTTAATAATCCTGGATAATTATCTAAAATAGATAATTTTGCTAAGTTATGCATAAAAAGGTGCCCATTTCTTATTGACTTCCATAGTGATTTGTTCTTTTGTTACCCTTTCTAATAGGTTTGTCCTCATTTCTAACCTTTTCTACCCCTGATATTTTTTACATCCTCCTATAACACCACACCTGAAACGCTTCTAACTTTCCCTTTTTTCCTGCAATTGTTCATAAGCTAGTTACCAGGGAAAACTACAAAATAATCAAGGACCCTCAAAAATTAGTAGATACCAATTGCGCCCATGTTAAAAGGATAAGTTAACTGCTTTAGTTAGGTATTTACAATTTTTTTCGTATACCCTTATCGAGTGTGGTATCGCTCTAAAGGTAATAATAAATAAGAAACTTAAAAAACATTTTTTTCTTATTTTTCTTTAGGTATCTGTCACACTTCTAAGTATATTACTGAAAATGTGCTCTAAGGATTGTATTACAATAGAATACAGATTTGCATATTGGCGTAATTAAAAGTTTAATTTTTACTTACTTGTGAGTACTATACGTTGATCAATCAATGGATTACATCGTGTTTAAAACTGCATATTTCAATATATTTCGGTGTATTAACATACAAGCATGTGCTTCTTCGTGCGAAGGCACTACGGGTAACGTTTTGTTACTGTTATTGGTGACACATTTTCGTGAAAATTGACGCGTTCGCACCGCACGAGCTTCAACTGTTTATTGTTCGCGACCTCGGCAGACAGAACAATAACTTACTTTTTATGTGTAAATCGCGCGAGACAGTGTGTGGGTCAGTCGTTAGAGCTACCGTGATCTTGCGACCTCCAGTTTTTACCTCAAAAATAAAAAATGGCAAAAAGCGATTGGTCTGTGAAGATATTGAAGTAGTCAATCGGCCACGAGCTTCGAGAGGACCGATTTTGCCATTAGTTACGATTAGACATTGAAGAAACAAAAAAAAGGAGGAGTTTAATAAACGTGTCCAATTTAACTGAAACGCGGAAATTTTGTAGCGGTTTGGTCTCTTTTGATTGCGAAAGAGTCTAGCGAGTTGACGAAATTTTCTTGTTGCCTTCTACAAATTAAGGTCAACGTTATAAATTAGAGGGACGACTGGGCGGCAATTGTATATTGCGGAAATGGGACATTCTCTCGAATGTACAGGGTGTCTCGAAATACTACTTAATTAAATAATTATTTATCTAATATTCAGTGGGTCTGTAATACTGTAGCGAGCACGAGTGTGTTTGTGTG